TGTGCTTATAGATAAATAAAGTCATACTTAAGAATGTAGCTTGCAACTCAAAGCTGTAGTTGTAACCTACTAAAACCTTTTTAATTGTTTCCCTTTCCTACATCAGCACTTCAGCTACATTTGTGCTCTGCTTCATGCCAGGTCATTTGATTTTTCCATTCTTATTAGTTATGTGCTAAACAGACACAGCTCTTTTTTGGATACTAGTCTTGGCTTATTCTATTCACAGAAATGTTCTTTTGACTTTTAACAAAAAAGGTGTAAAAGTTCCTTATGTGTCATAAGTGCATGGGGCACTTCACAGAAATAAATGTTAATATTTAGTGTTGTAGATGCATACATCAGATGTGAACATTTCAGACTTACATGCTTTAAGTTAGGCTCCCAAAACCATACATCAGCACCCAAACAGGTGGCCTCTTTTTTCATAGGCTCTGAGCTCTACTGGTTATTTAAATATAACTGCTATTGAAACCCTTGTAGTTATCTTTTAGAACGTGTCGGTGGACTTTTAAAAAATGCTCCATAACATCTTTTCTTAAGGTCTTTCACTTTCTTGTTTAAGCTCTCAAAGAAAAGAGGAACATGAGAGCATGGACAAGATCAGAAAGCAAGTTATGAATGAAATACCTGCTCCTTCAATTTGAAAATCATGTTCATCTGTATCATTTGCCTCTGCCAAGTGCTCAACTAAATATCTTAAATGGAGAACAGCAAAATTTGCTAGTTAATTATTTCACTACATTTTGCATGTTTTTATCTTCAATTTCATAATAGAATATTTCAGATGTTTCAAGTTACAGTAGTAGAGATGTAGAATATGGCAAGTTAAGGATACAGAAAAAAAACAAGTTTCTTTAAAAAGAACAATATTTCATTAGAAAGCTTGTCATAAGAATTGTAATATTGCCTTCTACTACTAGTAACAATGATGCAGCTTAAAATCATATGGTGAGTACACCAAAGTGTTTGGGGTTTTTTTCACTTTTATAAATTTTCCTGCTGAAATGTACAAATGAAAGTGGCTGGTTCTGAGCTTAGTTTGGATTCAAAATTTGAGGCAACTTAAGTTGTTAATCATACAGCAAAACCAGTTTTTAGATTTGCAGGAGTTTGTAGTATGTTTTCTTTTCCATGGTTTCAGTCCAGCATTGTCTATATTAAGGTCACTTCAGCTAAATAAGGATTTATTCAGCCACTTAAATTAGGATGCAGAGTACACTTTGCGTTTGCATTAACTCAGACATCCTTCAAGGCTCTGGTTACTTATCAGGTTTTATACTGATCTGTGTTTAATTTTTCAAGTATCCCTTTGTAGAAGCTTACAAATACTGCCTGTTGCTTGAGACTTGGCTGTTCAGCATATGATTGCTGAAATTCTGCCTTTCCTAGGCTTTCCTAATCGGCACTTTTCTCTAAAATAAGTATTAAAGTTGCAATTAACCAATCCCTATTGCGGTTCCAAGCCTTTGTAATGTATGCAAGAATTTTCTTCCTTTCTTCACTTTAAACTCCAAAATTCATAGAACCATAGTTAATATGTATGTGTAGCCAGTCTAAATTAATTGTGTAGTTAACTAGGTAATTGTGTAATAGATGTAATATGTGCGGGGGTGGGAGGGGCCTGGAGTGCAGCACAATTTTCATTTATTTTAGCAACTTCCTGCTTGATTATGAAATAGCTAAACATTTTTGGTGTTTAAGGTTTCTATACACTCTGTGTGGCTGGGAAATAATATCACTCCCCTGAGAGAAGAGGAGTGGGGTGAAGATGAAGACGAGGAGAATGACATGCCCGCTCCTTCCTCACCACCAACCTCTCCTATCAACTCCAGGTATCTCATTGCGTTTCTTCCCTTAACCATTTGAACAGGGTTTTTTTAATTCAGGAAGAGAGATTTCTATATTGTCTTCTACACACCTGGTGCTTGTTGAGGAGTTTCTTTATTTAAAAAGATGGAAGAATAGTGATTTGTCATTTGCTTGTTGTGCTTTGTAGGAAACATCGGGCTGGTGTTGATATCCATTCATGCTCTCAGTTCTTGCTTGAGCTGTACAGTCAGTGGATATTGCCATCAAATCCTAGCAAGAGAACACCTGTCATCTTGATTAGTGAAGTGGTGCGGTCGGTAAGCTTGCAAAATAAATTTTCTGTACCGTAATTGAGTGTTTCACTGAATACCTGAAGTAAGGAGAATTTACAAAGAACCCTTCTTATTCTGCAGAAAAATAGACTTGTGGGGGAAATGTTGTGGATTTAACAGTGTATCTTTCTACCATCTGATCAAAATAATATAAGCAAATAGTAGCAAAATATGGAAGTTACAAATGCTTTATAAAAAGAGTATTAGAGAAAAAAATGTTCCTTTACTTGCCTGTGTACTACACTGAATTTAGGACCCTTTGTTTGCACTGGAATATGATTAAGAAGAATATTCCTAGAGTCAAACAGGAAATATAGAGGAACAGATTATTTTAAGGAGCGAAAATTATTTTTGAGGCATCTGATGAAGGACTAAACTTAGTAAATATTTATGCATTTCAGGACTTGGGCAGTATAAGGAACCAGTAATGGTAGTCCCCAACACTGACAATACATATTAAAAGGCTATTATTCAAAGACTCAAAAACATCAGGATAAGATGCCATTGCCTCAGAGGGCATACTGCACTGCTTCGTAAATCTGGGTTCGTGGGGGCTCAAAAGTAGACTCCAAAACTACTTCAGTGTTTTCGTTTTGTAAATGAGAAGTAATGCAAGAGGCTGTTTAGGGCATTATGGAATATGCACCTTTTAATCGCACATTACGGAAGTGTGATCAATAAAATGTCTTGTTAGCTGAATGAAATCAAGAGATGGTCAGGCCACCACTATTGTAAAAATAGAAATAGCGTTAATTAATGCATTGAAAGGGCTATTGAGAAATTTGAACACAGACATCAGTTTTGATGTCTAATGTCTCAAAATAGTGTGATTTTTGGGGGGGGTGGGGTGGTATTTTAGTGCTGTAACCATAATTCCTGAAACATCAGATGTAGGAAAATACTCCTGACTTTACTTCTACTTGAGAGCTTAGAATTCTGTACGTTTTCAGAAGGCATGCAAGAAGAATGCACATATTTTACAATGACTGTAGTGCCCTGCTAGCAGTTGTACTTTGTGTCTTTGAAGTAGCACTGTTCCATTTGAAGCTTGCATCTGACATCTGATTAGATTATGTTTGATTTTTACTCCAGCTTTCAATTTAAAATATTTAGCACCACATGTCACAACACAGAGTTGAATTATTTTTGCTGGAAGGTATATTAAAAGAATAGTCTGATATTTTTGGTTTGTTAATAACTTTTTTTTCTACTTGATTTTTTTCCACTCAACAGCTTCTGGCAGTTTCAGACTTGTTTACAGAAAGAAATCAGTTTGAGATGATGTACACAACTCTGACAGAATTGAGGAAGGTGCATCCATCAGAAGATGAGATCCTCATTCAGTATTTGGTACCTGCCACGTGTAAGGCAGCAGCTGTTCTTGGAATGGTAAGAAATTAGTGCATGTAAGTTTTGTGGTCAGTGTATAATGCATTAACCATTGTAAACTGCTAGCACTGTACTCGCACGACAAAGATCTGAGAACAACTGATGTTTTGTATCTGCTTTTTAAATTGCTTCTCATAAGTATATTTTATACATGTCTAAAAACCGAGCATTCAAATCTAAACCAAGTATTTTTCACTGTATCCTGAAGAATGCTATATTTGTGATTAAGAGGAGTGTGGTGAGGCATGAACTCCAAAAAAGTGGTCCTCAACTGAGAGCCTTTGCTCCGCTCGAGCAAGAGCATGGGGGCTGTTTTGTTTTTTTTTTTTAAGTTGCTATGAAGCTGGTTAGAGTAAGAGACTCTCTTAGCTAGCCAGATATCAGTGTTTTATCTTCTTAGAAGATAATGGCATCTTCCATTGATCCTCAACCAGGAAGCATTTGCAAAGGGTTGAGCACAGGTTGGTGTATTAAATGATTTCTCATCCAGGAGTTATTCAGCAGCTCTCTGAGCTAGTTTGTAGGTTTGTGGTGAAGTTCAGAAAAATGCATTTTGTAGTCCTCTGCTAGCCTGGACATGACAGTGGCTTGGTGACCATTGTTATTCTTGTCACAAGAGAATGACCCTAGTCCCATGATCCTCCTTAGTGAAAAGTGTCATTTGTGAGCTGCTTTTGTTACCAGAGAACTCATGTACCACAATATCTGCAAACTTCAAGGCCTTTTCTGGTGAAAGATGGAAATACAATTCCTGGTACAGCAACTTTTCACATACTCCTTTTCACTTCCATTTAATTAAACTAATTGAACATCATATTACCATATTCTCCTGAATCCAGGATTACTTTGAATTTAAGATGCTCCCCCCCCC